CGAGAGCGAGATAGGACGAGAGGTACTCACCACTGAATCTCCTCCTTGGAGTTGGCCTTGATGTGTACGGTTTTGTCTGGCGTGATGATGGACAGTGAGTTGGCGTGAGTGGTGGCCGCCTCGGCGTCGTTCACATCAGTGCACTTGTTCATGTCCACCACGCCCTGGGGCACTGTGTCCGGCTGGAGAGAGTGAGGAGCAGGATTTATGTTTTAGTATAGTTTTTTACGGTGCTCGCAACTGCATAAGGTCACAATAATATGAGCGCCAAGGTGTGGATGTCAACAGAGAAGTCCAAACGCGGAATCAGGCTTTCTTCGCTCACCTCTCTAGCCTCAACAGAACAAAGTCTGCTTCGACCATCAAGGCACCCCGGAAACAGCAGTTCACTAGAGAGTGACAAACATACAAAAGAAATAAGAAGTAAAATGACGATAGTACGGACGAGGAAAGAAAAAAAGGCAGTTCCTTCTATATTGTTCCGGCACAGTATGAGCATGACATTGATAAATCAGTCCGTTTTCAATTCTACTGTGCATAAGAACATGATAATATCCTCCCTTTGGGAATGGCCTAAAGACGACACTTCAGTCAGTAGCGCTGTCCCCGAGGGGAGGATCAGGATGATTTTCAATGTTTAGTGCCTTGCTGCACTGTAAGTGATTTACTCAACTATCCATATCCTTTATAGGGGGCTCTCGTGGCCAAGGGGTTAAAGTGTTCGCCTCTCATGCAAAGGTCCCGGGTTCGAATAGACAGATAAGGGCGATAGAAAAGAATGTCTTCTTTAAAATAAATTGTCTCCTTTCACCTCCTTTCCTGCTCTCTAGCAATGTTCTGTCGTCTGCTGTCGTATCCACTTTCTGCCTCCACCCCTCTCACCTCCTTTGCCCCCTCCTCTGGGCTCCTGACTTTTTCTGCACCCTTTCTACTGCTACTCCGTGACTCCTTCTTACTGTTGACTTTCAGCCACACCCCTGATCTTCTGGATGGAAGGAAAGATCTATACCTAGCCTTTCGGACAAGGGTGAAAAATCCCGGAGGTTCCGTGTTCAAGTTGCGCATGTTAAAGACCCCTTGGTGGTCTAAAAATCGATAAGAGTAGGCTTCGGCCGCCACCCGGGCAAAATTCTATATTTCTTACCCAATTAAAATGTTTAATGTGTCCCGCACGCTCATATGGCCTTGTGCAGTAGCGAGCGCCGTAAAACACTTACAAAAAGGACCCTTTTTATACCATTAGGAGTGATTAAATGGGTGAGAGGGTGAGGGTGAGTCAGTGAGAGAGAGATAGAGAGAGAGAGAGTAAGTGAGAGAGAGAAAGAGAGAGAGACACACACAGAAAGAGAGAGAGAGAGAGAGAGAGAGAGAGAGAGAGAGAGAGAGAGAGAGAGAGAGAGAGAGAGAGAGATTAAATGGGTGAGTGAGTGAGAGCGAGAGGGAGTGAGTGAAGAAGACAGACAGACAGACAGACAGACAGACAGACAGACAGACAGACAGACAGACAGACAGACAGACAGACAGACAGACAGACAGACGGGGAGAGCAGGAGAACAGCTGTCAGGAGAAACCTAAGACTGAGTAGGATACAACATTCCAGTAGAAAGACAGACATCCTCAACATAAAAATTCCCCGCTCGAGAATCGAACATACATCTTATGTGAGCAACTGCATAATATGTATGAGCGCCTACGGTGTGTTTCTTTGTCAGGGTGTGTTCTATACATAAACATACACGAAGATTATAATACATAACTCACGTTTTCGTCCACAGAATAAGAGAGTTCCCCATCGTCGTAGAGGACAAAGAAGCGTCGCTGCCATCTCTGTGGATGAAAGAAAAATGTATGGTTAGCAAGAGGTAATGGAAGGGAACATCCCCTTGATATACGCGATTATTTTTTCCGAAGTGATGGACATACGATCACCAGAGACAGCTAAAAATAATTACGAGAGACTATACAAGAAAACACAGAAGAAGGATCTGTAAAAAGGCCTTTTGCTGTTACACGTTAAAGGGCCAGCACACACTTCATGAAAAGCTGTAAAAACTGCGCAAGAAAGTGGCTAGGAAATTTTGCCACATCCACTATATTCTCCAGATTTAGCCCCGTCCTCCTTTTTTTCATTCCCCAAACAATAAAAAGGATTGAAAAGGAAGGCTTTTTGAAAGTGATGATGAGGTCAAAGAAGCGTAGAGGGCTGGTTCTTTCACAAAGAGAGGGTCCTCTATTCTTAAGGCATTTTCAAGGTCATACCCCAATGGCAAAAATGTAAGACTGTGGAAGGCGACTACATAGAGAAAGATTAAAGTTAGTATCAAATTTCAGTTTTCTACCTTTATTCCTTCAAGGTTAGGTTAAAAAAAAACTTTTGGTATTCCCCTCGTATATTGACTAAGCAAGATCAGTGGGATTTAGGCAACAATGGTGTCTTCTGAGCATTTCTTTTTTACAACAGAATAATTTCACAATAATAAATTTGTTTGAATGCGATAAGAACATGACATATAGATCTAAATGATATCAGAATATTTACATTTTCCCCCTTTTCCAATCTTTTTCCACCCCTAAACTTATCTTCTCATCTTTATTCTTTACCTCTGTTTATTAATTTAATGTGACTGTCGGCCTGTGTGTTTCCATTCAAATCGGTAACAGGTCGAGAAGACAATACCCTTCAACCTGTCAGCAATGTTCAAGGGTAATGTTCTCTCTCTCTCTCTCTCTCTCTCTCTCTCTCTCTCTCTCTCTCTCTCTCTCTCT